ATTTAGCAAGCAAAGGGGTGGTGCTCGTATTGATAAAGCTGTTACTAATGCGAGATATCGAATTATTGATCAATGACAAATGGGAAACAAAGACAAATGATTCCAATGCTTGACATTTTTTATAAACAAGTAAAAATTCAATAACTTGAATCCTTAAGTATGCGCCACAGCACAGAATAAACATGAAAAATTCAGTCTCACTATCAATCCTGTTTTAAACAGGTTTACAACAAAAAACTGTTCTAAAACTATGGTTATATACAATTCTATTTCTATGTGAATCCACATTGGTTTAAAATTCAGTCTCACTATCAATCCTGTTTTAAACAGGTTTACAATAAAAAACTGTTCTAAAACTACGGTTATATACAATTCTATTTCTTTGTGAATCCACATTGGTGTAAAATTCAGTCTCACTATCAATCCTGTTTTAAACAGGTTTACAACAAAAAACTGTTCTAAAACTACGGTTATATACAATTCTACTTCTTTGTGAATCCACATTGGTGTAAAATTCAGTCTCACTATCAATCCTGTTTTAAACAGGTTTACAATAAAAAACTGTTCTAAAACTACGGTTATATACAATTCTATTTCTTTGTGAATCCACATTGGTGTAAAATTCAGTCTCACTATCAATCCTGTTTTAAACAGGTTTACAACAAAAAACTGTTCTAAAACTACGGTTATATACAATTCTACTTCTATGTCCACATTGATGTATAAGTTTTGCGTGCCACATTGATGTGTAAATGTCGCGTGTCTTAACTGACAACATAAATGACAACTGGACTATAAATTCGAGCGGGCTACCAACAGTGACGACAGTTCACAGTTCTGTTTCTCTAGTTTTCGCAGCCAACACAATCGTTGCTGAGGTAATGTGTAAACGTGTTGAGCTAATTGCCATATGACTAATCCCATTAACATTATTCTTATTTCTGATTGGTTGTTTAGGTGTAATTTACTTAATCCAAAGTTGTTAATCAGTTGGATTTGTTGTTGATCGTTGTTGGTTGTTGAGTTGATGTAGGAAAGAATGCACGGTTTTATCGATTGATAATATTACGGTTTACCCAGCCTGTTTATTGAGTTTTTCTCTCATTACGTGATAAAGAATCAAAGAATGCATGGGGTGGGATTCACCTCATAGTGGTCCACCGAGCTCGATCGCGTAAGAATGGCACAGGCTGAAGATTTGAGTCGGATGCGGAAAAGACGACGCACAATTCGTGGATTGGTAACGAAACTATTCACAAAGATTGACGAAGCCCTGGAGGATGTAGACGGTGGAGATTTGAGAAAGTTTAAACAATTTGAGATCGATTTGAAGGAGAAACAAGGCAAGTTGAAAGAGCTCGACGAGAATATTTTAGAAAGTTTGTACGATGCCGAAGAAAATGATGAAACGTGCGATGAAGAAGCTGAAAGTGCCAGCGAGATTATGGAGAAAGTATTATTCAGATTGGTTTGCTTGGAGAAAGCATTAGATGACCGCTCCAGTTCAAAAGGATCTACGTCGATAGAACGAAGCGTTTCTCAAGAAAGTGTACTGTCTAGCGGATCGAAGTTTGGCGAAGCTCACGCAGCTCAAGCTCTAAACAGCTACAATGTCCGGGTGAAATTGCCTAAAATTAGCCTGCAGAAATTTTCTGGAAGGGCTCAAGATTGGCAGGAGTTCTGGGACTCCTTCAAAAGTGCAATTCATGATTCGCCCGCATTAGCGAAGGTTGACAAATTCAAATATTTGAAGTCGTATCTTGAGGAGCCAGTGCGGAAAGTCATTGGAGGCTTGTCATTAACGGACGCGGATTACGATTCTGCCATAGACATTTTAAAAAGTCGCTTTGCAAAGCCAACGGTGATAAAGAGAGCCCATATAAATGAGTTGCTAAACTTGTCGCCTGTTTTCAACGAGAAGAACACCCCAAGAATGAGACAGCTGCACGATGATATCGAGACCAATTTTCGCAGCCTCGAGGCTCTGGGTGTTGATCGTGATTCCTATTCAAGCATTGTTGTTCCGGTTTTGTTGGAGAAGATTCCAGAGGCTGTGCGGCTAAACATGTTTAGATTTGGTAGCAATCATTTAGAGTGGAGTATAGGGGATTTGTTACACGCGTTTGCTAAGGAGCTGGAGATAAGAGAAAGCCACGTACCAGTGCTCAAAGGGATTTCATATTCAGCAAATCCACAACGCGGAGATCGGCCTAGGCCGCAACATCACACGGAGAGAGTCAGCACAGCAAGTGCGCTGTTCATGGGAAAGGACAATTGTAATAAATGCCAGTTCTGTCTAGAATCGCACGAAGCTGCGAACTGTACGCAGATACGTAACCTGAAGAACGTAAAAGAGTTGGTTTTAATGAAATTTTCCAGGTGTTTTTGGTGCTTAAAAAGGTCACAGGTCCTTTAATGTAAGAGTAAGTTTCGTTGTAAGGTAGTAAGGTAGAACCCGAATTATTCTGCTTTTGCGCAGGATAAGAACGTCACCGTTAGGAAGCCAACCCAGCGATGCCCCACCTCTTAATC